ATATTTTATAAAGAAATTAACAATTATTTTTAATTTCGCAGGCAAATTTGCCTGCTAGACAATCTAAGGGATAGCTTTCTTAAAACAATATTGAGATAATAATATACGAATTTTCGATAATAAATATCAACAATATATAGGCGAAACTGTTAAGATTCTTTATGATCTAGACAAAGGTTTAGTGGCTATGAGAAGAGGTCTTAAGATGCTTCGAGAAGGTAAGTGTGTTGCTTTTGCAATAATATCATATAAAAAAGCCCAGGCTTTAGCAAACTAAGCTTTTGCATTGCAAAAACCAGATGGTTTACCTATTTTAACTTGTATTTATTTTGGCCAAATGGATGAAATGCAACGACAAGAGCAGTGCTGTCATGGGACATGAATACGAACATATACCAGACCGGACTGGACTGTTCATATTCATGTCTGAGATTTTTTTATGTCCGGAACTTTTTGTTCGCATTAATACTGGCCATATCTCTTGTTAATTATAGCCAAAAGATATCTAAAATCAGTCCATGTTCTAACTGTCCTGCAGACACAGTCCCAGACATGGACTTTCAAACATCCTGTGTCTGCCAAAAATCACTGGGATAACGTTCATGTTCAACATTGGACAAGAGATTTTACTAATATTAATGTTACCTGGAGTTCTCTTGACAGTGTAATTTATATCAGTACTGTAGAAGCTGGTATCACCTTTGAAATTCCTAATCATTTTGATGCTATTATAGGAATTAGTAATATTAAAACAGGAGTACATATCGAAGCTTTTACACAGATGCTTTATCAAATTCAGAATTGTCTACAACACATAATTTCTTTATATAATAGTAAAAAGTCCTTCGAAATATTCTAAGAGTTAAATCGTAATCTTATTCGTGTAGGACTTTCTGTTTTAAGGTCTATTGATTTACCAATAGCAGTAAAAGGATATCGGGAATGGGATAAAATTGCTGATTGTTATGCTCTTGATGCATCTTCAGCAGTTGAAACCTATATTGAGGCTGAATATTAAAGACGCTTATCAGCTAAGTACTTTCCCGAAATTCTCTGCAATCTTTTTTCTAGTACAGGAGCTCCACTTGAGATTATTTTTGCAGAAGATACCATAGCTAATAGAAAAATAGTTTCTAATATTATTAAGGTAATCGAAGAAAATATCAAATGTTCTGATGCAGAATTAATAGTCAATGCACCTGATATCACTCCATATGATGCTAAAATTCTTAAACAAATTTTCATACAATCATTCAATGATAATATAATATTGCAACAACATTATTTGTGAAGAATATATGCTTCAGGAGATATTGGAGGTAAGGATGATTATCGGGACTGGAGTATGGATGATGCCAAATAGATTAATCTCTATAATACTAATTTTGTAAAAAATTTAATAATTCTGAACCTTTATAACATTTTAGAAGACTGGCTTATTTTTGAAGGCAAGGTTCAGATGCAATAAAAGCTTTAAAAGGGCTAAAAACTAAAGAAGTTATACAGTAGAAGGAATTGCACAATTTCTTAGATCCATCATCAAATGATTTATGAAAGGCATATTTATCTAAACAGTGGGAGGCAATACAAAAACTTTTTCAAATACTAGGCTTTACAGGCATAGATGATGAGCGTATTCTTTCTGGTAGTATATTATCAGAAGCGTTTATGTATGTGAAAGGTTTATAGAAATTCGAAATCAATCTTTATTATTGTTCAGGTTTAAGTCTTGTGCAAAAGAAACACCAGACCTTAAATTAGCTATAAAAGCAATTAATGCAATTACTGGAAATTGGTGTGACTATACAGTTAAAAGCAATCAGAAAAGAATAAGTCTCAAGGAACAGCGGGTTTGGAAATATTCATACAAAATTAATCGTCAGCCATATAATTGTATTGGTTTCAAAGATAAAGGTGTTCTAGAGCTTCCACCATATAAGCCTGCCTTCTCATAAATTCGAAGCCAGAAAATAAAGTATTCTATTTATTTTTTTTTTGAACAATGTGAAGAAAAGGGCCTATTATTCAGCATTTCAGCTAAGTGTCTCGACCCATACCTGATTCCATTTTATTTTTTTTTTATCCTCACGATAGGCATTCTTATAAATTCCACCATGTATACTACAGATTCCTGTATTGGAATAGGTTTTCTCATCACAGATAGGACATATTATTTTAGGACAGATTTTATAATGTATGGCACATTCTGAAGCATGCCAGCATCCTTTCCCACAAATCAAACCATCTTTCTTGATGTAATGACAGGATAAACGATCCATACGAGGTAATTTTGATATTAATAATCTTAAAACTTTATCTTCACTTTTATTATAGATATTTAAAATTGCTTTGCTTTAGCGTTGTGAATTGAATTTTTTCTTACATAATATAACTAGATAACAGTTACTATTAACATAGTTACCAAAATGGCTACCCCAAAGACTCAAAAACCTAAAGCTAATAACTTTGTATTGGTCTTAAAGCAGTTCCTAAAAAAGCATAATTTGACGGCTGACTCTACCCAGAACAATTAAGCAAACATGCTTCCGAACTTGATGCTTTGCTTCTTAATTGGATGGCCTGCAGATGTGTTAAAGTTGTCCTTGCCAGATGCTCATTTAGTAAAGAACTGATAGCGGTTCTCTTACCAGATAAGAGAAAGGGAAAACTCACAATTGAAGGAAGGGCGGAATACTATGCTAAGGCTGGTGATTTTGTAGACATTATCGCTAATCATTGGGCAGTGAGTCCAAAAAATAAAGATGAAAATGAAATCATTACCGGTGTCTCACATCAATCAACATTCCGTATAAAGTTAGCAGAAGGTGATGTAGATCTTGCAATTATTGAAGAATTTGTCAAAGATAAGGATCTTATCCAAGATTCTAATAAAATTCAGAAAGAACGAACTAAAAAGCAAATGGCTAATCCAGACAGAATTCTCATATATTTCTCCTTAGCAAATGTGAGTAAAAGGATTCAGAACATGGATATTTCCAAAATTCCTACTAGAGAGAATCTTGCAGATGTGATAGTAATGTTAAGTATGAGACCTGCGAAAGTAAGATCTCTTCAGATCAATATCTATGAACCAAACTCTTCAAACATTTCATTATGATATAAAGAGGGCTATTCTTGGTACTATACTGGCTAAAGATAGGAACTGTAATTAATATGTTGTAACTTTTAATGTTGCAACTTACGTTGCAATTAGTTTTAACCTATATA